TGGAGACTCTGCACCCATGCCGGATGCCCGTGGAGCCCTGGCTGGCCTACAGACGACACCGAGGGCACAAATGTGGCGTGTTCTTGCTGTGAGGGGCAAGCTGGGATGGGCGGATGGGAAGCCTGGACACGCAGAGGAGGCGAGACACAAAAGGCCCCAAATCACCCCTGCCTGGGGCCTCAGGGTGACCACCAAGCGCTGAGGAGTGGCAGCCCATGGGGTCCCGTCTGCCCAGCCGCTGGGGGCAAGCAGGGCAGTGGTAGAGACGTGCACAGGGCACTGTGCACATGAGAGGAGGGAGAACGATGAGCACTTGCATTAGGAAGCGCCCACTGCGCAGCCTTGGCGGCTGCTTGCTCTGCCAGGTCGGCGGTTCTCCTGCGTACAGGTCCGGAACTGAGGCCCTGAGAAGGGGGGTCGCTGGCCCAGGTCACAGTCAGCGTGTGCCAGAGCCTGCTGTCCACCAGGGCTGCCCTGCCCCCAGGGTGCCCTTGGCTCCTAGAGCTCAGGCAAACCTTCGCGCTGGGGAGCCGGTCCCGGGCATGAGGCAGATGGGGATGGGTGCAGGCAGTTGCTGGCTCCTATCTTCTTGGAGGTGAAGCACTGGGTGGGGCCGTTGCCCTGGAGGGTGTCTCACGACCTATGGACAGGCAGCACCCCTGGACAGGTAGGCAGGGAGAAGAGGGTGCTTGGAGTCCATCAGCTGCACACAGGCTGCCCTGAGGACAGGAGGAGAGGCTGAAGGAGGAACATCAGACGGTTGATGGCCACCACACTCCCTGTGGAGAAGTGGATTCTCTTGGGAATAGTGAGGCTTAGGTAAATAGTCCCCCCTGGGTGGGATCCTTAACCGGGGGCATCTGGGAAGGACTCAGGACCCAGGAAGGACAGTTACAGGAGAAGGCTGGGAAGGGCACATGTGCATATCTGAAGGAAGGGGTGTGCTTGTGTGTGTGTGTGTGTGTGTGTGTGTGTGTACGCACACGTGTGCATGTCTTGCGGTTGTATGTGGGTGCATGCGTGCATGCCTGTGTGTGAGTGTGCATGTGTATATGTATGCTGGCTTGCATTCATGTGTGTGTGTGCATTTGTAGTCATGTGTATTGTATGGGCTTTGGTGTCTTTGTGTTCACGTTTGTAAGCATGTTATGTGTGTTTATGAGCTCGTGATTTGTGCATATTTATGTGTTTGCACACGCATGTATTCAGTGTCTGCATGCACACGTGTGCGTTAATATGCACACACATATTGCGAATACCAGTGTCAGTGTCAATCCCTACAAGCAGATAACCATAGAAAAATCAAGGTGCTTTTGCATGAATGTGGCTGAGAGGGTAACTTCCTGCCCAACAGTTCCTGGAGGACATCCATCAGCCCCCTTGTGCTCTGGGCTCTGTCTTGAGGGTATTCTGAGACATACAGTTTGGTTTCTGCCCTACAGAAGATGGAGACACTTCAGAAACAGGCAGAAGCTATGGGCACAGAGGCAGCATGCTCAGGAAGGGGAAGGGTGGGGAGATGAGAGGTCAGCCAGGGCCGGTGTCCTCTGGGGCATGGTGTCTGTGACAGGCGCAATGTGTGACAGGAGGGGCAACCTCCTCCCCTGGAGAAAAGATCTCCCCACCCAGGGAGGGCCGCGTGGGTGACCTGTGTGCCAGGACCGGGGCATGCAAGTTCACTGGAATGAACTCCATGAACCCCTGCAGCATGTTCATGCAGAAGCCACTGTCTCATCCCCATTTTATTCTTGAGTGGCCTGCGGCTCAGCACCTGGAGGCTGCTCAGAGAGGAAATACTGCAGGGAGAACAGCAGTGCAGGCAGCCTGGCTCAAGGGCCCCAGTCAGCGGCCTGCCCTGTCCCTTCCCTTTGGGAACAAGGAAGGTGGGACAGGGGGTTGGGGCTGGGTGTTTGCTCGGGGTTACCCTGCAACTCTGCTCTCTGCTCTGTAGGAATGGGCCTGAATGGCGCTTCAACCGACTGCAGGTGAACCCATATATGCTGTCGCCAAAGGCCGTCCAGAAGTATATTCCCATGGTGGATACGGTGGCAAGGGATTTCTCCCAGTCCCTGAAGGAGAAGGTGCTACAGAATGCCCGGGGCAGCCTGACCCTGGACATCCAGTCCAGCATCTTCTACTACACCATAGAAGGTGTGGGGTCGGGTGGAAGGCCCCATCTCAGCGACTTTGGAGTAGACCAGGAATGTGGCAGGGGTGCTGGTGGGAGGCAGCTGAGAGTCATGGGGCTGCCTTCAGCTCAGCAGTGCCTTCCTCCCTGCAGCCAGCAACTCAGCACTTTTTGGAGAGCGGCTGGGCCTCCTTGGCAATAACCCCAGCTATGCGAGCCTGAAGTTCATCCGTGCCCTGGAGGCCATGTTGAAATCCACTGTACAGCTCATATACATGCCCAGGAGCCTGTCCCGCTGGACCAGCACCAAGACGTGGGAGGAGCACTTTGAGGCCTGGGACTACATCTACCAGTGTGGTGAGGGCCAAGGACCCGGCAGTGCTATATGGCAGGGACACTGGTGGTGAAGTTGTCCATTCTCCACAGCCTAAGGGAGAGCAGAGGCCACATAAAAGAGCTATGGCTTCCTCCATGTCTTGTCAAAGAGAGTTGGGGCTGAGGCAGGGGCTGGGCTGGACTGATCCGGATGTCATGGGGTGGAGGCAGGGAAACTTGGGGGTGTTGGGGTCAGGGTGCGTAGGAAGAGGGCAAAGAAGAGGTGCTTCTCAGCTCCACGGCTAGAGCGCTGATTCTTCTTCTTCCTACAGCCAACAATTGCATATGGAAAATCTATTCGGAGCTGGTAGTTGGCTGCCCTCCTCAACAGTATAGCGGTGCCCTGGCAGAGTTGCTGTTGCATGGAGACTTGTCACTGGATGCTATCATGGCCAATGCCATCGACCTCCTTGCAGGGAGTGTGGACACGGTCAGGGCGGCAACCATCCCCACCCCAGAGAGTGTGACGCCCATGCTACCTCCCAGCCAGTGGCCTCCAATGCCACCTGTCAGCCACGGGCCCCATTGCCAGGCTCTGCCTCCCACATTCCTCAGCTCACCCTCAGCCCATGCCTCAGCTTAGGAAGTGATGACAAGATTTGCATGTGGGCCTTGGTTGGGATGGGGTCCCCTTTCTCTGGACGACTCAGGGAAAGAAGTCCAGGTGGGCATTAGGATCACACCCCTGACCGTCCTCAAAGGGGCGCCCTGAAGCAGGAGGTCCTGCTGGTGCCAATGTCTGAGCCTCGTACCTGTGCTTCCTGCAGACCTCCTTCCCCTTGCTGATGACACTCTTTGAGCTGGCTCGCAACCCCGACGTGCAGCAGGCCCTACGCCAGGAGAGCCTGGCAGCCCAGGCCAGCATCACTGACAATCCCCAGAGGGCATTGGTGGAGCTGCCCCTGCTGCGGGCCGCTCTCAAGGAGACCCTGAGGTAGGTGCTGGCTGACCCCTCCCCAGCTGCCCAGTCCCTGCCCAGCTGCTCGGCCCCTTGCTGGAGAGCAGTGCCCATCGAGGGTGGCAGCCAGAAAATGGGGCTGATAAGCAGCCTTGCCTTGGGAGCCATTCCCGCTGCACCTCCTTTCCTCCCTCAAAGGAGCGGGCCCCTTCCTTCACTGGAATCCCTTTCACCATCCTGGGGGCCAACTTTGGGCGCGTCCTCCTTGGCTTGGGGCCGCTCTGGTTGGGGGCAGGTTTGGCTGAGCTCAGCAGATGCAAGGAAGCACCTCCTCATGGTCTGGGCTTCCCATGGGTGCAGGACCTCTGGGGTTCCTGGTAGGCAGGCTGCAGAGGGCACGGGAGGGGCCCTGTCAATGCTGAGACCACTACTGATGCCCCCACCCTAGGCTCTACCCGGTGGGCCTCATCTTGGATCGACTCCTGCCCTCAGACATGGTGCTGCAGAACTACCACATTCCAGCTGGGGTGAGTGCTTCCCCCCCGCCCTTCCGTTGGGGCCCCCAGCCACATTCCCTCACGGTGCAGCTGACCTCTCCCTCCACACTGTCCTGTCCATAGACACTGGTCCAGGTGTTCCTCCATTCGCTGGGTCGCCACTCCGCCTCCTTCCCGAGGCCAGAGCGCTATGAGCCCCAGCGCTGGCTAGAGGTCAATGGTTCCAGCACAAACTTCCGCCACCTGGCCTTTGGCTTTGGCGTGCGCCAGTGCCTGGGGCGGCGCCTGGCAGAGGTGGAGATGCTGCTCCTGCTGCACCACGTGAGTGGCCCTGTGGGGGAGGTGGGAGCAGAGTGGGGCGGGGCCTGATGGTGTCCCGCGTGGCTGGAGCAGAATGGAGAGGGCTCTGGGAGGGGCGGGGTGGAGGGCGGGGCCTTGAGTGCTGGGGAGGGGCCTGTGCAGGTTAAGGCAGGCCTGGGCTGGGCTGAGTGGGGCAGTTCAGGGCTAACTGGATGGCACTGGTTGGGACCACAGGCTGCTCTTCCCCTGCAACATGTGCCTCACCTAGGGGAGGGCTGGAGGCTGGGCCGGGTCCTTGGGTAGCTGACTAGACCAGATGGAAACGCAGCTTCTGTCCTAGGTGCTGAAAAGCTTCCTGGTGGAGACACTAAACCAAGAGGATGTAAGGATGATGTACTGCTTCGTATTGAGGCCCACCACCTTCCCCGCACTTACTTTCAGGGCCATCAGCTAGTCATGCCTCCGCACCGAGGGTCCCAGCCTCGCCACCAGTGCCCCTCTGCCATGGCCTCAGGCCACCCCTCTTCTCTCCGTGTGCACTATGTCACACCTCTATCCAGCTGGCCCTTACTCACATGGAACACCCGAGGCCCTCCAGGGCCAGGGCTTGCCAGGCTATACAGCAAGGTCAGAGCAGAGCTGGGGATTCTCTTGCTGGCAGAACCTGGCCTTGTTCCCTACCCCATCTAGCTACTTCTCCAGTAGGCAGTATCCCTTGAGTGCTTTGCCCACATCCCCCCCAGGACTAGCTCTAGGCTCCTCACATGACCATCCAAGGGCCCTCAGATTCAGTGTCTGAACTCCTGTCTGGTGTCACATACTCCCGGTACGCCTGTCCCTGCCTCTTGCAGGAGCCGTTCATGTGTTCCCACTCCTGCTTCCTTGTCATTGCACATGCTATGCTCTTGACCTGGAATGCTCTTGTGTGGACTTGACCTGTTGTGTACAAGCCGTTCTGTTGTTATTTTCTAGCTACTACTTCTTCTCCATTCCCTGGGGCTCTCTGTAGCAATACCAGTCCTCTCTGACTGTGGCTAAAGCCTCCAGGCTAAGCTGGAAAGTGTCCTCAGTGGGTGGTTGCTAGAATAGCCACTCATTCTGCAAAAGTGTGCATCTGTGCTATACGATCCCGATCTGGGAAGCAGGAAAGATTGTGAACGCAGCTAGTTGATGGTGGGGTTTACCAAACAGAACCTTCTGGAAGAATGTGGTGGGCCCATCTCTACCAGAACAGCCATGTGTTACCCTTCATAAAGTTCTTTGTCTCAAGTGCCCAGCTGCCCCTCACAGTGATCCACAGGCAAGCTAATCCTGGCCTTGTAGCAACCCATAAACAAGAGAAGATGCCACACCATGTCACTGGTGGAAGAAGCTTTGAACGCTGGCGTACTGGCCTGAGGTCACAGGCCTGGCAAGAAGAGTCTCTCCCCATGCTGCCTGGGGCCAGTGATGTCCCCATATGGAACACTGCCAAGAGGCAAGGCTGGGTGGTAGAGTGTGCTCCAATCTTGCTCTCACTGCCCCACCCATCCCCTGTGGCAGACACCAGGCACTCAGTGGACACTGAGGCAATGAATGGGGGGGACAGTCCTGCTGGTACTAAGCATCCTGGTGGCATCCTGTTTGGTCCCTGGAACTCCCAGATAAGGAAAAGGATTTTCAGGCTCTTCACCCCTCCATGGTCCAGTGGGAGAGCTGTCTGCCCAAAGCATGTCAGGGGTCTTTGAAGGTGCCTGGAAGAACCGGGAAGAAGAGAGAAGGTTTCAGGCAAAATGGCTGTGCAGGCACAGACTGGAGCCCTAGTCTGTCACAGGGGCCCAACCCTTAAGCCCTCAGTACCTCAGTTTCTTCACATGGGAATTCTGTGTAATAATTCCCATTTTACTGTGCAAGATTGGCGTTTGTAAAGTGTCCAGCTCACTGCCTGAGCAAGCAACTAAATAAATGCAAATTTCTTCTCCTGTGTCTCAAAGTTGCTTCTTTATTTGTCACCCTGAATGGGTGAGTGAGTGGTGTGTGATGGCAGGGACAGAGCTGGAATATAGTTACCACCTAGTGAGCATGCGGCACTCTGCCAGTCTGCACACCTCTTCACTTGGTCTTTACAGCAACTTTGTGAGGTAAACACCATGATCATTCCCATTTCACAGATAAGAAAACAGGTTTAGATCATTTGCTCAACTGCCCAAAGTCTCACAGTACATACATGGCAGCGGCACCAGCTGAACCTGGGATGCCAATCCCTTCTCGAGTGACCTCACTGCTTCCTCTCCAACCAGAGGACCTTGAATTCAGAGGGCTCTTGCAGATTTTGGAAACAACCTCCAATGTAATATTGAAGAAGTCCAGGCCTCGTGAGTGAAAAAGACTTATTCAAGGTCCACAGTCCTGGAAAAGGACTTATTCCAGGCAAGTTCGGGCCTCTGTGGGTTGTTTGAGAGTCATCAAGCTTGAGTTTCCCCCACTGTGGCCTGCCTTCACAGGAAGCTCAGGCATACACAGAGTCTCTGGAATTCATAAATTTGGAAGTGCCAACAGGTTGGAAGTAGATTCTCTTTCCCAGCGGAGCCTTTAGAGGACTGCAGCTTTGAATTTTTTTTTTAATTAAAGATTTAAATTTCTTTTTATTTAAATTTTAGTTAACTGACTAATTTATTTTTCTATTTTTAGTAGAGACAGGGTCTCACTCTTGCTTAGGCTGGTCTCGAACTCCTGCCCTCAAGCGATGTTCCCACCTCAGCCTCCCAGAGTGCTAGGATTACAGGCGTGAGCCACCACACCTGGCCAAGGACTATAGCTTTGACATCTCAGTTGAAACCTCACAAGACACCCTTAGCCGAATCCACTCAAGCCAAGTCATTTCCAGATTCCTGACCCTCAGAAAATGTATAAGATAATAAATGTTTGCTGTTTCAAGCCACTAAGTTTTGGGGGCAATTTGTTATGCAACAATAGGCAACTTATATAGATATATTCACATGCACACAGCGATGTGTATTTGTTGATACCCCAGACACATTCTCTCTACCTATAGCTATCCCTCTCTACTGAAGCCCATGCATTCACCCTGTAATGCCAATTCCAGCACCCTGGGTACATTTCTCCCTGCTGCCTTTCCATATTTGTAACTCTGTGCTCTGGCAATGCTCCCCTTGTCCATGTATATTTATTCATTTCCCCAATCTTAGAACATACAGAAAGCCATTTAAAAGTTGCTTACACACATTTGTTTTAAAAAAAGAAGTCTACTATATCAGTTAGACTTCAATATTTGATTACAGTTCTTTTTATATTTAGAATGAGGAAGTACAGTCCAAATATTATGTTCAAAAGTTAGTTGAGTTACTTTTTCCCCCCTAGTGTGATGGTTATGCTAACCATTTGAAATATGATTTGGTTCTTTTTTTTTCCTGGTGTTATTCAGTCTTAGGCTGCTTCTTATCCTTACAGATTTATTGGTTTTCTTTCTTTTAAATTTTTTTTATTATGGTAGAATACATATAACATAAAATTTATTACCTTAACCATTTTAAATGTACAGTTTAGTAGTGTTAAGTACATTCACATTGTTGTGCCACTAATCTCCAGAACTTTTTCATCTTGCAAAACTGGAACTCTATACTCATTTAAGAACAACTCCCCATTTCTCCCTAGTCCCCTCACCCAGCCCCTGGCAACTGCCATTGTATTTTCCATTTCTATGAATTTGCCTATTCTAGATATCTCGTGTAAGTGAAATCATACAGTATGTGTTCTTCTGTGCCTGGCTTATTTCACTCTGCATAATGTCCTCAAGGTTCATCCATGTTGTAGCACGTGTCAGAATTTCCTTCCTTTTTAAGGCTGAATAATATTCACTGTGTATATACCACATTTCGTTTATACATTCATCCATTGATGGACACTTGGGTTGCTTCCACTTTTGGTTATTGTGAATAATGCTGCTATGAACATGGGTGTACAATTATCTCTTTGAGACCCTGCTTGCAATTCTTTTGGGTGTATGCCGAGAAGTGGCTTTGCTGGTAGCTCATGTGGTAGTTCTATTTTTAATATTTAGAGAAACCACCATACTGTTTTCCACAGCAGTTGCACCATTTTACACTTCCCCCAGTGGCGCACAAAAGTTCCAATCTTCCTATATCCTTGCAACATTTGTTATTTTTTGACAGTAGCCATCCTAATGGATATGACGTAATATGTCATTGTGATTTTGATTTGCATTTCCCTAATGATTAGTGACATTGAGCAATTTTGCATATGTTTGTTGGTCATTTGTATATCTTCTTTGGAGAAATATCTATTCACGCTCTTTGTCCAGTTTTAATTAGGTTATTTAGGTTTTTGTTGTTACTGTTGAGTTGCATGAGTTCTCTTTATATAATATGGATATTAAGTCTGTATCAGATATATGATTTGAAAATATTTTCTCCCATTTCATACATTGCCTTTTTATGCTGTTGATTGTTTTCTTCACTGCATAGAAGTTTTTAAGTTTCACATAGCTCCATTTGTCTATTTGTGCTTTTGTTGCCTGTGCTTTTGGTGTCATATGCAAGAAATTGTTAACAAATCCAATGTCATGAAGGTTGCCCCTATGTTTTATTCTAGTAATTTTATAGTATCAGGTCTTACATTGAAGTGTATAATCCACTTTCAGTTGATTTTTGTATATGGGGTGAGATGGGGTCCATTTTCATTCTTCTGCAGGTGGATATCCAGTTTTTCCCACACCATTTACTGAAAATATTCTCCTTTTCTCTATTGTGAGGTCTTGGCACCCTTGTTGAAAATCATTTCATCATATATATGAGGGTTTATTTCTCCACACTCTATTCTAATCCATTTGTTTATAATCTGTCTTTATGCCAGTCTTTCACTGTTTTGATTACTGTAGTTTGTAACAAGTTTTGAAATCAGGAAGTGTGAGTCTTCCAACTTTCTTCTTTTTTTAAGATTGTCTTGGCTATTTGTGGTCCCTTGAGAATTTTCATCAATTTTAGAATGGATTTTTCTATTTCTACAAAAAAATGCCTTTGGAATTTTGATAGAGATTCATTAAATATGTAGTTTGGGTAGTATTTAACAATACTGAGACTTCCAATCCGTTAGCATAATTTTTTCCCATTTATTTATGTCTTTTTTAATGTCTTTTGACAATGTTTTATAGTTTTCTATGTACACAACTTTCACCTCTTTGCTTAAGTTTTTTCCTAAGTACTTTAGTCTTTTTGATGCCATTTGTTAAGTGGAATTGTTTTCTTAATTCTATTTTCAGATTGTTCATTTTTAGTGTATAGAAACACCACTGATTTTTCTCTGTTGATTTTGTATCCTGCAACTTTGCTGAATTTATTAGTTCTTACAGTTCTTTGCTGCGCATGGCCAATTAGTTTTATTTTTTTTCATATAAATTCATGTTACCTGTCAACAGATAATTTTACTTACTCCTTT